GATGGATGGATGGATGGATGGCAAATTAAAATCTCAGCTATCAAAGTAGATGTGATGGTTTTTGCTACAAAATTACGTTGGTCAAATGTCTATTTACAAAGTTGCTAAAAGACTCTGTAGCAAAGAACCATCACACTTCCTGTTTTTTTTTCATTGAGATCCACAAACATCTCAAAGTCATGGCAGTTTAATCAAGTACAGATTTCTACAAGTCTTTTATGACTTTTACTGTCCATTTTAATTTGAATGTTTTAGTTGTATCTGGATTTTTAATGCTGACCATAGTAACAGACAACATTAAATCATAACCTTCCAATCCTCTTGCAGGTTAAAGGACTGCAAGATGACTCTAGAGTGGGTTGAACATCTGGCCTTCGGTCTGAAGTTCCCCTCATCACCTCTGCAAGATCTCGACTTGAGCAACAATGATCTCAGAGACACGGGAGTGGAGAAGCTCTGTGAAGGACTGTCAAGTAAAAACTGCAGACTCAAAACACTGAGGTACCAAAACAATATTTCTATAACCACACATTTAAATCTCACTGCAACAGCTTCTGTTTTAATGTGGAGTTTAGTTACAACTATGGACCCTTAAAACATGTTGACTCAAACTGTGGATGTTCTCAGGTTGTCTGGTTGCCTTGTCACAAAGGCTGGTTGTGCCTTTCTGGCCTCAGCTCTGAAGTCCAACCCCTCCCACCTGATAGAACTGGACCTGAGTTACAACCATCCAGAAAAATCAGGAGAGGAGCTACTGTCTAAACTGAAAGAGGATGAACAATACAAACTCAGTAAAYTAAAGTAATTACAAAACTTTAATTTGATCTGATTGGTTATTTGTAGCTAACTATATGTGAGAAGTCTATGGTTTAGTCTTATTTAGGGAATAAATTACAATTTATTATTATCAAGATTCATGTCCTTCTTTCTTTAAAGCTTTGACAATGGTGGAAGTCAGCGAATGAGACCAGGATTAAAAAAATGTAAGTAATTCTCAGGTTTATATTTTATATTTCAACAAGGAAAAATCAAASTCATCACTGCCAAACTGAGCAATGTGATGGATCAAAACCATTTCTTACAGAGTGTGATATTTTCCATTTTAACAGAAGTTTTTCTATTTCTCCCAGATGCACATGAGCTCACTCTGGACCCCARCACGGCACACAGGAACCTGCTTCTGTCTGACAGCAACAGAAAGGTGACCTGGGTGAAGGAAGAACAACAGTATCCGGATMACTCAGAAAGGTTTGACCACGTCCTGCAGGTTCTGTGTGAGCAGGGTTTCACAGAGCGCTGCTACTTCGAGGTGGAGACAGTGGAGCCCTCCAGCATCGGGTTGTCTTACAGAAGCATCAGCAGGAAGGGGAACGAGGCCGACTGCACGCTGGGACAGAACAATAAGTCCTGGTGCATGACCTGTTCTTGCTGTGTACAAAACAAAAATGAAAGTATCAGTGTGCCTAACCTGAGGTCCAGTCGTGTTGGAGTGTATCTGGATTGGGAAGCTGCCTCCATTTCCTTCTACAGAGTTTCTAATGAAAGCAGCACTCGACTSTACACCTGCAGACCAGGAGGGTTCAGTGAGGCCCTCTACCCTGTCGTTGGACTCCAACCCAACACCTCTGCTCTGTTCTGTCAGATTAAATAACTGCAGATACTCAAACAGACCAAGCTGTAGATTAGCTTAGTTGGATCATGTCCTACAGTATAAAGGAGCTTTTCTTATTATATTATATTCATTATATATTTTTTTATTATAGATGCATAAATACCAGCATCAGGCCTCATACCTGTATTAGTCCTATACTGTGTATGAAAGTGTTCTGATACCAGTTTAAGGAAGCGATATTTCAGTTTCTCAGTTCAACAGTCAGGTGGTGAGTTGAGGATTTTTTTGAGTTGGCTGTTCTCAGTTGTTGGTGGTTAATGTGTCATAAAGCTGTTTGCCAYATGTCAGTAAACACCAGTACAAGTTGAGTGGAGCTGTTTCAAAGTGAACAGCAGAGCAGAAGAGGGCCCTGAGAATAAATTCTAAGAAAGAGGATGAAGGATTCTATCATCAGAATCACTGAAGTCCAACAGGAGATGATTAAAAAGCATGAATCGGTTAGGCGTTGACGCAGGAAAGCCGAGGTCTTCAACCTTTCAGCATCTTTCAGCTTAAAGAGTTCACAGCGAGCCGACTCACCATCATTGATCTGCATCGTTCTGAGGAGAGTGGACAAAATGCAAAGAGTGGGTGTGGCCTAAACTGATCAGCAGAGCCTCCTACCGTGGGTCATTGGTGAGACTGGCAAGCTGCTTAACGAGCTGCGTAATGTAGTAGTAGTAGTAGTAGTAGTAGTAGTAGTAGTAGTAGTAGTAGTAGTAGTAGT